GCTGCTGCAAGGGATCCAGCAGGACTCCTGACTTTCTGCCATTGATGCTTGAGCCCTCGTAAGACACGACCCCTTCGGTCAGTGGAGAAGCGAGGCTTTCGCTCTGGGAATTCACAGCATCCCAATCTGACGCCGTACCCGTGTGACACTGTTTGTGAGCCCCGAGCTTTAACGAGCTCTTGCAAGTAAACGGACATTCGTCACATTTGTAGACGGCAGTCTTTCCGGACAAGTGGATGTTTTCTATGTGGCGGGAGATGCTACGTCGATGCATAGTGAGGAAAGGACAAAAGGGGCACTGGAACCTATTCATGAACCTTCTAAACGGAATGCCCTTGGTCTCCAGCAACTTGTTGCCGTCCGAGCCCATCAGCTGCTCTGCAGACAAGCCCGATGTCTGGTGATCCATAGCATTCAAGCCATTCTCGCTGTCTAGCTCATTCAGCTCTTCATCAGAACTGGAGTCATTCAGCATGCTGTTAGTCTCCAGGTCAGCAGAGGAATTGGTCATGTCAGCCATTCCATAACGCGATCTCTCCGCCAAGTTAACGAGGCCAGAGTTGTGAGGGGACTTCGGCTTCATCTGAGGGTAAGACACAGGCGGAAACTTGGAAGCAGATGAAGAATTGGGTCTCATGATGGAGTTACTGATGGAGCCCCGGAAGTTGGAGACATTAGCGCTGGGCAGCTCCCGGCTTGCAGCATTCATGGACAGATAGGTGGAATTGGAAGTGGGGCTGGGGGCGTTTTTGTTCTGCACGTCAGGGAGGTTAGTCCCTTCTTGCTGCTGTCGGAGGCTGGAAAGGATCTTGACCATGCTTCGATGCTTCTTCATCATGTGGTCACACCAGCGTTCTCGGCGGGGGGTCTGGTAGCTGCACCACTCACAGCAAAAGTTGCCTCGAGACTTGGTCAAAGGCTTGACCATGGACTCTAGGATGCTGCGCTCCACAACCTCTGCTGGCAGTTCCTTGCAGGGGTCCTGCAGGGACACAGGTGGGACCACGGGGTCTGGTATCGGAGCAGGGGCAGGGAGGGGAGCAGTGGTCTCCTTCAAATTGTTTTTGTGATACATCTTCTGATGCTTAATTATTCTCGCCCTCCTAGGTGACTTGTATGTGCAAAACTGGCAAGAGAAGACCTTTCCAAATCCCTCGTGCATCATGATATTATAATTTAAGGATCCTGGAACAGGGGGGCCCGCCGAACTCCCTTCAGCTTGAGCTCCGTGGACCTTCCTTGTGTGTTCAATGAGGAGGTTTTTCGACCTGAAGTAGCGTACGCAGAACTTGCATTGAAAAAACTTGTTTGTTGGTTTGGGATTAGGGGCAATATGCTGACCGTAATATCCTGGACTGTGGCCATAGTAGCTTCCGGTCCCCAATGCAGTTGCATTTTGACCTAAAGAAAAAGCATGAGGTAAGTGAGAACAGAAAAGCAAACAAAAGAGAATTAAGAAATTCCATCACGCAAATCAATTTTTCTTTTCAATTATTCTTCATTAATAAACATCACATTCAAAAGTCCTAACATCTCAAGATGAGGCCCTGAAGAGTATTAATGAAGCATTCATGAACGTACACATATCGCTTCTCACAGATGAAGACGCAGCATTCAGCTTTAGGAACGATACTCACCTCATCTCCACTAATGTGCCCTACAGCTATAAAAAGATGCATTTCACACACTGCGACTTTCATCCCAGAATTCTGCAAGGTACTGTCCCGTTCTCCAAATTGAAAGGAAACTAAGAGACATAAGGAAGCCGAAAGGACAATAACGTAGGACACTCAAGAAGAGAGACATGACGCCCAAATCGCAAAGATGGCTTGCAGAGAGCAAGAAACTCTGAAGAAGCCACACACACCAAGGCCCACGGCTACAGGCTAAAACTAGAGGAGAGTGATAGGACGTATCAGATACGCCAAGAATCGGTGAAGATTTACCTGATAAATCCTCTGCGATCACAAATTCGTCCTTTATAGAAGAATACTCCACCTCTGTCTGATTACTGGCATTCATGGACCCGGATCGTGGCTCATTAGCATTGTCTTCAGCAACATCAGTTGGCTGCAGAAATGCCGTGTGGACATCCTGAATGTGCGCCTTGAGATCTTCGTAAGATGGGGCTCTGAAGTCACAGCCATCACACTGTAGCACCTCCATGATCTGGGCCTACCTTCTCACATTAGGAACCTGTGACAGAAGTCAGAACACAGCGTCTGAAGAACTGCCCTGGTTGCACATCCCAAGTCGACAGGGCTACAAGTCCATTAACAGAAAAATGTCTAGTATCGGCAGATTTCTCTCACTGAACTTTGCCAGTTGGAACACCGGCCAGAGAAACGCAATCAGACATACTAGGGATAGTGTCCTTGAGTTCCTAACTTCAAAGGAGGCGGGGGGAGCCCAGATAAACATTTTCCAGTTTGATATAAATACATCTCCAAATGCCATTGGTCAAGGGGACCCTTAACAGTTCAAAAGTTTTAGTAGTTTCTGAATTTCTTGACTGAATTTAAATTTTTTGTTAAGTCGATATTGACTTTGATTCTGGCTTGGACCCAATTTTTTTTTTTTTTTTTTTAACTAGAACCTTCTCAGAAGTGAAGAGGATGTCTGTACAGAAAAAAGGACAAATTTCAATCATCACTAGCGGTTTTAATATGAGAACTTTGATGTTTCATCCCCAAATGGTGAAATAGTACTCAACCTTGCACTGGTGGTAGAGAGAGCTTTTATTATGCCTTTTATTATTCTAATATCTTAACTGATATTGGGGTACGCTTCTTTCCTCCTTTCCCCAAACAGTTTAGTTGCATGTGTGTGCGCGCGTGCGTGCACGTGTGTATGTGTTTCATAAGCTAAATGGTTATTTTGCTTTTTACTACCTACCAATTATAACCTAACAGCTTCTCCAATCTAATTAAGTCATAAACTATTTCTCACGAGATTCTCCAACCACCAACTTCAGATGACAATCCGGTTTCTAGTTTAAAGTTGCACCTTGGTACCTTGGTTTACACTAAGATAACAGACACAGTTTTGAAGAGGGGCTTCTAAGTTGTGACTCTTCTCTTTTCCTACGTCTCTCCTTCACAAACGTGAAGTGTATACTTGCCTGCCAAGAGCCGTAAACCTGGGGTAAAAGCAAAACTTGCCCAGGTACCTTCACTCTGTTCTTCACTGGGTGATTGAGAGACACAGATAGCTTCCCACTAACTCAATGGAGAGGCTCACCATTAAGCAGTTAAGAATGTATTAGAAGGTATAGTCTGTCCCATTGCAATACACATCTTGAGTTGAGATACCCGGTTATTATCTTAATCAGTGAGTTACTTCATTGAGCTCACCACAAACTCTACTGAGTCACTGTAATCTAGAACCAGATGTCCAAGAACTAAAACTGAAGCCAAATCTTTCTATACTTTCATTGTACAGCAACTTTCAATACTTTTTATGGCAAAGGGTAAATTGTTTCTGCAGGAGGAACAAAGTCAAGTAATATGTCCAATGTAGAGAAAGGAGCCATTGCGGGAGGATTTTCTATGAAAGAATGCTGCTGCTGATAGCCTGCTAAAATAACTTCTGGCAAGTCCAGCTCTGGACAGACTGAGCTTGCAGAGTGAGACACAGATATTTACCTCCTCTTCTTTCACCCAGCAATTTATCCTTTTCCAATAAACACTGAACTGTGCACCAGAGTCTTTTCAGCTAACGAAGTCTCAATATTCGAGATACACAAGCTTTTATGCCTAAGCACCAACCCAAATTGTGTGGAAGAGGTTGCTATCAGCTCTGGATCAAATTACAGCAGTCACCGAGGCCCCACCCCACTTCTCCTTTCGCACAGTCCATTAGACCTGAAAACAAATTTTTCCATGGTGCAGACGACTCCTGCATTTAGAACACTTCACAGAAAAAAGCAGATCATCCAGTGTGCACTCCCCATCCCCCAAGCCTAGCCCTTTCATCTCAGCCAAACAAGCCACAGCTCTGCTGAATGTGTTTATCACACTTTCAAGAGATAGGAGCCCCTGCGTCACTGAAGCTCTAAGACTCACTAAGCTGCCCTAGTCCTCTGAGCTTTAGGAGCAGCCATTTTAGCTCGGAGCTTCTCTTCCGTGCACAACATGGCTTCTCTGGGATTCTGCTAGGCTGACAATCAGAAATGAGCAGTAGAAGAACAGGCTGGGCTCCTCCTATGCTCTTCTCCTCAACAAAGAATGAACTGTTTTCATTGCTTTCCGAAAAGCAGCACCTTTCTCCTCCTCAAATGTCATTCACCAAGATCTCCGAAGGTTCTTTTATCCCATGATTGATAAGCCTGTTCTTTAGTCCCAGCAGAGCTAACTGGTTATTGCAGGACGATCCTGGACCAGACCCTGTTCTACAGCAGGATTTGGGGGTGGGCCGGGGGGACCTCCAGAATGCCTTGGCTTCTTGGGACTCGTCCTTCCACACACAGAAGACATACCATCCGACTCTGCTTGCCAGATTCCAAAGTCTAATGACCTTTGTTAATCACCAGCCAGTCTGTCTGCATCAGCAGACCCTGCCAACAGACACACCCTTCAACACAAAGGCTGTAGCTATTCCTTTTAAAAGAGGTTCTCTGAAAGCTCCATTGTGTAGCCCGAGAGGAAAACAAAATCTCTTCCCTTCAAAACTTCAAGCCTTTAGAAATAATGCAACAAAAGGCTTTCTGCTGTGTGTCTTTTGGAAATTTTGAGCCTGGTTTGCACAACATCAACAAAAATTATGGTTCTGCACAAGGAAAGCAGGGCACCTTCAGCGTTAAGTCATCCACCCAGACACGAAATTCATCTCTCTATACAGTTCTCTAATATCTTGGTGTCTTCGGAAGCTGTTATCAAGGATTCGAACTTCGCTGGATGCAAACACAAACCAACAGTCTCCTTGTTCTGCTACAAAGGAGATTAAAGGGTCATGAGATCAGAAAAAAAAAAAAAAAAAACCAAACACCACTGATTTGGAAAAAGAAGAGATGATGAAAGTGATTTCCTAATGGGTTCTAGCTTTAATGTTGTTGCAGTCTCTACCTCAAAAATAGCTCAGAGCCTTAGAAGAGGTTAATCTCCAGGCTGCTGAGAGAACCAGCGTCAGGTACAGCTGAATGGCCTTCAATTTGATGTCGGCACCAAGCACGTAAAGGAGGACAGAGCCTCCTTGGAAAGCCATTTTGCCTTTTTGTACACATTTCTCCTGAAGATGCTGACAGAAGAAGAAAACAAATTTCCAGCATGGCCTAAACAATCAAAGAAACAGAAACTCAATGTGTTTATGAGACCGAGGACGTGCACACGTGGAAGAAGTAAGAGTGGGAGGAGAAGAAAGGAATGGGGGAGGACAGGAGACAAAGAAAGCCGGACCGGAGGATGACCCATCCATCAACCAGAGTAGGTTTTCACAGCAGATGGTAATCCTCTGAGAAACCCACAACGAGGAAAAAGAGGAGAACGAAGCTCTGCATATCTGACTGCTTCATCCACCCAGAGAGAGCAGCAACACTCAAAGACTCAGCTAGACACTGATCTGCTCCAAAATTATGATTTAAAGCTAAAAGCCTTGATCTTATATCTACTTACTTCATTTAAAAATATTGTCATAATGAGATTAGCAATACCTCCCCCCCTTTCCCCCCACTGACCCAATCAGCAAAATCAAAAGCAGAATAGGAAGCTTTAGAACTAACTAAAAAATGCTATTTCAGAAGGTCATCGGGTGAGACTACAAATCAAACAATCACCCCCACTCCTACCACCCCTCCCCCAGGCAGTATTCCCAGGGCCCTCAAGGTCAAATAGGCATCAAGGACTAGACTCTAAACACCACCCACGAGGAGACCTGCTCCGTGAATATGGATTCTTCTCTAATGCCCTAGTGCCGAACGTGGTCAGTCCTCCTAACACGCACGAAACCCCGAGACGTTTCAAAGTATTCATTGCTCTTCAGTACCACTTATTACCCGTTGCTGGTGTGTTCCGTTTCCATTTCTAGTTTGGGGATTTCCAAAGGTGGGGTTTTGATGAGAAACCCTAAATCCAATTCTCCACATCTGACAAGCTCTTGAAGACATAGTCAAAGACAAGCCAAAGAGATTTTGCTCAAGATCTGGAATATACACAGGCGAAAGGGGAGAGGGAGATGATGGACACAGGCTGCTCTCTCATTTACACCACCTGCACACCCACTTTCTGTGCTCAGGATCCCAGGGAGCATGATGCCGCGGTGAAGGTGAAAGGGGGCGATGCGCAGCGTCATGGCATGTCCTTCTCCCGCTCACAGCCCAGACGTAAGGGGGAGGCACCCTTGATGGTTCACGGTGTTCTGACCACCTGGCCACCATCAACCCTCGCCCAGGGCAGCTTGGCGAGCACGGTTCTCCAGGCTTGCATAAACATGGTCTTCAAGTCAAAGTCCCAACTGTCTCCAGGAAGTGCCCGAATTAAAACATACAGGCCTTGCCTAGATCGAACCTGTTCTCTGACTGAAGGACTGCAGACCAGAAATAAAGCCGGGAAGTGCCACAGCCACGGGGATTCAGCGGCAACTAATTATAACCTTCAAAGCCTTTGAGAAATAGAACCAGAAACACCATAAGGTGCTTTTCCTCTGTCCACTCCAGAAACCTAGTTTCATTTATAAGACACCGAGCTCCCCAGTTCTCCTGAATCACAATTCTAATAAAAGGTTTTAGTTAGCACCTGTTGTTTGTGCTTTTCTTACTTTCCAGTGAATGGAAAAACCAATTATCCAAGGACTGGTAGTGGAATGCATCAACTCTGGAATAGTTCAGCTAGAAAAACAGAAACATCAGGAACCTGCAGATCAGTCTACGAAATGTATTTGCAGATTGGAAAGAGCCGAGAGGGTGAGGTCAAAGAGCTATGGGGCGTGTTAGGAGGTTAGCACTTCTAACCCTAAGCCCCAGCACTGCCATTGGGAGGAAAGAAGAATTTTCATGCCAAGGATGAAAAATGGGGGAAAAACAACTAACTCAGCCACTTGGGGATGTGGGTTGCTACTCTGACAGCAAGGGGTGTTCTATGTCACTACTTATCACTTACCCTTGTCACGGTCAAAGTGGCAGTTCTAGTAATTTAAAAATCATTTAAAGCATCTTTCCAAACAGGACTGGACTGAGAAGAAACTGAGGTGAAACTTCCTTTCA